GGCTATAAAGCCCTGTGAGGCAGTATATAAGTCTAAGTGCTATTGCTATGTTGCAGGTCCCATCTATTAGTTATATACATCTGGTGGGACTATGAAAAGGAGCCTTCTCAGTGGTGGCTCCTTCTCTATGGAACATCATTCCCACAGAAGTTTAATTGAACTTCACCTTCTTATTTCTCCAAAAGGCCATGCAAACATGGTTTTGTCAGTGAGAGCCCAAATGGAGACGGAGACCATCAAGTGGTTGGCTTGGTTGTGTGGCTGCTGCCAGGGCAGGAGGGATTTGATTGTTATATTGTGGGTTTCTAATGTTGTCATCTGCCCAGCATCACCTGTGTGTGAGTCGGGCGGCCCTATCGATTGGTTTAATAAATAAAATAAATAATAAAGCTCAGTAATCCAAGACTTTATCAATAGAAAGGAATCACATGTGGGACATTGCATATCACCATATCTTCATTTTGCTGGAGTCAACAGGCTGTATCTAATGTCCCATCTAGTTATCTGCTGCAGTTTGTGTACATTTGCAGTATATCAGCCTGTTGTGGCTCTGAGGTTTGAGCCTGCTTTATTAGAGGACGAAGACTCGGACAGTGGCGAAGAGGAGGTTTTGGAAATGCCTTCCTCCCCAGGACCTTCCTCTTCGGCAATGCCTTCCTCCCTGATTGTGCCTCAGGTGTCGGCAGATAACCGGGAGGGAAGACCTGAGGCTAATCAGGAAAAGGAGGAGGGCATATCAGAGTCTCTGACTGAGAATCCAGCAGAGGAATGCTGGCTTGATGCGAGGCAGCGGCGTAGGCAAAAGTGCGAGCTGCAACGCAGAAAGAAGGGACGAATCAGAGACTGAGTTGAGGGACTGACATGCCCCACAGGGAATAAAAGTGGGTGTGTTCGCTCTAGGAACTTGTTTGGGACAACGTGTTACTTATGGAGAGAAGCTTCGGAGTATCCTGTGTGTGGTGACAGCTTGTATGATTTGTATTCCTCTTATCTGGTCGGACTTGGCAGACAGTGTGTGTGAGACTGCCAAGAACTTTATCGGCTCAAAGGAGTTAACTCCATAATTACTGGACTTGCTTGCTTGTTTGTATTTAGTTGGAAATTTGGACTTCTCACCTCATTTGTACAGGTGAGACATAACATCAGCCTATACAAAGCTGACCTACAGACTGGAAACCAATGCTATATCTATCAGCCCTTTGAGGTAGACCGGACTAAGAAACCAATTCCATGTAGTTGAGAGCTACTTTTACTGTACTACTCATAGAAACAAAATCTTGCCAGTCTGAATGCCCCACTCTCCTTCTTTACTGTGAATTAGGGAGGGAGAAGTGGTGCAGTGGCCTAGAGATGGCACTCTTGCCTCCCAATCAGGAGACTGTGAGTTCAATCCTAGGTAGAGGCAGATATTTCTCTCTCTGGGCACAATGACAATATATCTGCTCAACAAAACTCCACATTGGTGACAGGAAGAGCATCCGGCCAGTAAACACTCTGCTATCTCCATTCAGTTGCCCAGACTCCACCCCACAAGGGATTATGGGGTCGTTAAAAGATGATGATGATGATGATGATGTGAATTAGGGAGGGACTTGTCTGAGAGATTTTCTCTAGTTACTTTCTTGGCCCGGGCTCAAATCTCTCTTATCTAGTGGATCTTCCTCCTATCCTACTAGCCTTACATCTACACCTTCCCTACACCTACGCTTTCTACAATACAGATAGTCCTCGGCTTACAGCAGCTTGTTTAGTGACCATTCAAAGTTACAACGGCGCTGAACATAGTGACTTATGACCAATTTATTCACACAAATGTTGCAGCATCTCCATGGCCAGCCACATGATCAAAATTCAGATGTGTAGCCACTGACTCATATTTAGGATGGTTCTGGAGTCAGGTGATTACTTTTTGCCACCGGCTGACAAGCGAAAATCAATGAGGAAGCCAGATTTACTTAACAACAGTGGTGGTATTCTACCGGTTCGGCTCGGTTCTGCCGAGCTGGTAACAGCGATGAGAAGCGAAGACCACATCAGTTCTCTCCTCCACTCTGCTGTTGGGCCCACCAGCCCGCCCGTGCTCCTATACTCACCTTCATCCTCTGAATTTGAAGTGCAGCTGCTTTGCACAGCACGCTAGAGTGCCACGTGGCAGCTGCTGAAGCAACTGGAATCGTGCAGGCTTGCAGGAGGTGAGTTAGAATGCCTCTGTGCCTGCGCAAAGTGCGTGTTTTGTGTGGGCGCACACGCAAAGTGTGTGCCCGCATGCAAAGTGCGCCCACCAAGCCACACCCACCGAACCGGTGGCAAAAATATTTGAATCCCACCACTGCTTAACAACCATGTTACCAACTTATCGATTTAACAAACAGCGGCAAGAAAGATCATAAAACAGACCAAAGCTTGCTTAACAAATGTCTCACTTAGCGACATAAATGTTGGGCTCAATTGTGGTTGTAAGTCAAGGACTACCTGTAGAATGATTTCTCTTGCTTTAGCAGAGACTCTACCCCTTGAGGGTTCAGAATGACTCTTATCGCTTGCAGACAGGATTTGATAATAGCTTGCTACTTAAGCCAAACCAAGTCTTATTGCTCAATACAGCTTATCGGTTCGCAAGAAAACGAAGGAACTATAAAGGTTATTTTGATTAAAATACTGATGCCTGTTGATAAAAGCATCTGCAGGCTGAATTCGCATTCCCTGAGCAAGAGTTCAGCAGAGTTCAGCTGCAAAATTTAAAACTTCTTTACGTTCCAGATTGCCTCTGCCTTTTGGGACTGTAAGTATTTACTGTCTCTGCTTAAATAATCAGTTGTGTATGCACACAACGCGGTATGGAATACTTTCCCGCAGACTCAAGCAGAAACTGACCTGCTATTAAACTGGATTAGATTTTCTAGTACAATTTTTTAAAATAAGAAAACCTCATAGATTTCCTAATACCCTTAAAAAGCGAAGTTTGGGATACACATACGTGCATATTATGCAGCTATATAGGAACATGTGCTATACTGAAGTGTAATTCAGATTTTTTTGGCTTAAGTGCCATCAAAAATGGCAATCTGTCCAGGATCACATCTGGCAATCTGTTCAAAACACCCATTGCAGGAGAGATGGAACATCTTGAAGGAATATATCTTATATCTGGACCGTCTACCTATTTTGGCTATTTTATTCCTCCTTCTGTTTTGTTTCGTTTTTAGGTCTTAAAGCAAGGAAGCATGTGGGAAAGATGTGAAGGATTTTCCAGGCAGGATAACTAGGAATATGTGGCTTTCATTACTCAAAATAAAAGATTGCCTTGAATTCTAAAACTTTGGCAAGTGTTTTTTTGGCAAATGTCTAATGAGGGCTGGATTGTAAATTTCTGACATCTCCTCTGTAAGATTTCCCTGTCCAGTCTTATCCAACTCAAGGGCCAGTGCTCATTGCTGTTTCATAGCTGAGGGAGTTAGCATTGTCTAAAGACACTTCCATGGTCATCTGGTCAGCAGGACTACACATCGAAGCTCACAGAAGGCTGTTACCTCCCTACTGAAGGGGTACCTATTTTTCTACTCACATTTGCATGCTTTCAAACTGGTAGGTGACTGGAGCTGAGGCAAGAACGGGCACTCACCCCATGGTGTGTCACTTGGGTCTCTAACCCAAGCTGTCACTTTCCATGTCTTTAACAGCTGAGCCAACAGCGGCTCCATCCATTGGTGGGATTCAAACATGTTTACTACCGGTTCTGCGGGCGTGGCATGGCTTGGTGGGCATGATTTTGTGGGCGTGGCAGGGGAAGGATACTGTGAAATCCCCATTCCCTCCCCACTCCACTAACCTGCTTTCCAGCTCCATTCTCCTGTGCAGGGCAACAAAAGAAGAGCCAGCTGATCAGCCGGGACTAAGGAAGCATAGAATAAATGGGGGCAGAGCCAGTCAGAGGTGGCATTTGCCGGTTCTGCAAACTACTCAAAATTTCCACTACTGGTTCTCCAGAACTGGTCAGAACCTGATGAATACCACCTCTGGCTCCATCTTCTCTATACTCTTCAGCTAGCAGTTGAAAGAGATCTATACATGGAGAGACCCAGAGGTGGTATTCAGCCAGTTCAGACCGGTTCTGGTGAACCGGTAGCGGAAATTTTGAGTAGTTCGGAGAAGCAGCAAATACCACCTCTGGCTGACCCTGCCTACCTGCCCCCACCATTACTTCTCCTATATTCCCTTGTTTTTTAGCTCAGCTGATTCGCATGGCAGAGCAGATAGCCATGCCTCAGCTGAGCCAAAAAAAAACCAGATCAGCTCACCAGCACTGACACACAGAGGGAGGTTTTTGAACCCTGCATGCATCTCATAGAACCAGTAGGAAAAAATGTGGAAATCCACCACTGAGAAACCCTGATGGAAGATGATGAATGGACACAAACATGTCCATGTACATGGAATATCTTCTCAGTTTCAATCCAACATGGTTATTTAGTATAGTATAGTATAGTATAGTATAGTATAGTATAGTATAGTATA